TTAAAATCTAATAACTGACTTACTGTGTGTTCGTCAGAAGAATTGATTACTTTGTGTTTTCTTTTCTTGATTAATAAAACAGATTCTTGGTGAATCTAAATTACTTCTTGGTGAAGTATTCGTTAAATTATTAAAGAACTTTGTATTCTATCTTTCTTAAAAATCTTTTTTTAAATACTTTGAATTCTTGGTGAATTCATTTAGTACTTGGTGAACTTATTTTATCTTTCAAAATATACTTTATTTTTAAAAGTTCTTTGTGAACTTGTTAGATTTTTTGTGAATCTCTTAGTGCTTTAGCTAACAAATAATAGTATTAGAAGATTATTTTTCACTTTGCTTATTCCTCCACGCTTTTTCACACAATGCAATCACTGTCTACTGTTTTAGTAAAGATCTTTATTCGTAAAGGTTACTAATGGTAATAATATTTTATAAATTATATATAAAATATAATTAAATATAATTTTTTCTTTGTTCAAATTATAATTATATTATTATATTTAATTAATAATTAAATAATTATATTAATTAATTAAATAATCAAATTAATATTAAACTTATCAAATATAAAAATATGTATAAACTAAATTATAATAAATTAAAATTTCTGATTTAGTTTATATATATACTTAGTAAACAAAAATTTGAAATCAAAAATCAATTTATTAATAAAATTGATTTCTGATTCCAAACTTTTATTTACTAAGTATAACAATTAATTTATTTATAATTAATTTATCAAGAATGATTACAAAAATACTAAAAATTATTCACAAAAAATAATACAAATTGAAAAATATATTGGTTTAAAATTAATAAATAAATTTAAAAATTAATATTATAATTGATCAATTATGTGAGTCAAACAACCAATAGGAATTCAATCACATAAGCAAAATAAGTAATATAAATGTTATAATATTGCTTTAATTAATTAAATCAATTATGATAACTAAAACTAAATCAGTATCTTTTTATTATTAATAATTTATTAATTTCTATTTCTAATTTTATTAATTTATTTTAGCTTGTTAGATTTTATGATCATTATATTATAATTCATACATTATAAAATATTAAGTATTATAACTTAAAAAGATAATATAAAAAAACAATAGCTTTCAATTTTGGCGTATACTAATATTATAAGAATAAAGAGTTCCGATTGGTCAGATTGACTATTATGTTTAAGATTTATAATACAAACTTGGCTTCATGGCGCAGTATTGAATGTCTTGCTCCCCAATTATATCGATATGTACTACATAATTATTTAATAATCAGTGTTGTCAATGAAAGCACTTGGAAAGTCATTGGAAGCAAAATTAATATCAAAATTGAACTTTCCAATAGGCTTCCAGTTGTCATAAGAGCCCACTAGAAGCAAAAATTGACAACTCTGTTCGAGTATACTATGTAAATCAATAAATACTATTATCGTGATCACCAAAATTAATATAGTAAATTTTCGCTGGTTCTTATTAATTTTTATTTATATATTGTTAAAAAACAAGTTTTAACTAAAAACTTTTTATTAACTTTAAAATTTTTGTATTTTTAACTTTTTAAATTAATATTATAAGAAAAAAGTTTATTAAAGATGTATATTTGTGTAATTATATATTCTATTTATTTTATAATAAAAATTTTCTATTCCTATTGTCATCATCAGTATCGTGAATAACATCAGTGTCGATTATAAGTTCGTAGAAGATCAAAAATCTCTGGAAACACTTCTTCGTGGACTTCTGAAGCCCAAAGGAAATCTAATTAAATGAAACAAGATAAGCATGAAATATTAATCAAACCTTAAATAACAATTGCAATAATAAATTATAAAAACCTAAATGTTCATATTTTTTTACTTCTTTGACTAGAACAGGCTTAGGTAATTGCTTCAACAACATATCAATATCCACTAAACTGTCACTGCCGCCATAAAATATAGCGATTGGGGTTTTAATTTGTTTAGTTGGAAATCCGTGTGTGATTGATCCCTTTGCCGAGAAGGGCGGGAAGTCATCGTACATTTGGAAATTACTTGCGCGCATTATTTGAAACCAGTGCTATGTATTTTTTTTTTGTTAAAATAATTGAATATTGAATCGTTAAACCAAAAACAAATAATATCACAATCTATTAACACACATACCACTAAACTCTTCACACTAGCCAAACTATAAAGATGATTATACGAGACTGCTTTTTGCGCTTCTGTCATATTTTTACCCTCCCATCCAAACAGAAAGTTCATTGAAGTGTCAAGAACCTTTGTGAAAATTGGCGGTGAGAGTACTTTTTGCCAGAATAGCGTCATTGGAATGAATGCGTTTTTGCCAAAGAATAAATAAATCACGTTTGGTGATGCTTTGATGAAGGCATCGACTATTGCATTTCGTAGTCCTAGTTTTAATTCGATTAATTAGTAATATTATCAGTTAATAAAATATATATAAATGAATAAATTTGCCATACCTTTGGGACTTGTAGCAGGAGCCAATGCAATAAATAAATTAACTTTTTTATTAAGTTTAGGGCTCACCGATAACGCGGCAAATTGTAATGCAGTTCCTTGTGAAAATCCAATGTACGAAAGTGATGATGCCCCAGTCGTTTCTAAAATGTACTGATGATGATAAATAATTACCATCAAAAGTACTTTTATGACAACTATATATAATTAAAAGAAAAACAAAATTACGTCGATAGTATCCGGCAAATCATAAAGTGCGCATTCATCCATAGAATATTCCCAGAATTTTCGGTCGCTCGGTTTATAATGAGCGTGTTTCATTGAATATTTGTTACCGCGGCAATTACCAAACCATACATCATAACTATATCGTAATAATTAATAACGAATATTCTCTATAGGTACTTAACATAACACACGTAAAAGCAAAATTAATTACCCTTCATCAGCCATTAAGCACGCAAGTCGTCTTTCTTCCTCCAAATTACACATCCACACTTCACTACACATCATGAACCCATGATACATCAACACGACGGGTTTAATACCCTGAAACGAGTTCGAGCCAGTCTTACGGTTGGCTGATAAAGGGATCTGATCATTCTGAGATGTGTTATCGTCATCGTGTTTTCCGTGTGGAATTCGATGAATTCCAAGTACGTACCGATCGCGAGTAAGCACAATGTGATCTTCGATTGCATATCCACTGTATACACATATTATGATTATACAAGATAAATTTATTAAATTTCGAAAGTAATAATTATAGGTATTTTATTACCAATGCGCTGCCATTTCCTTAAATGTAGTCGCATTCTGTAATATCACTGCCGGAAATGTACGTTCATCTTCATATAATTTAGAAAATAATCTATTTTATCAATATAGTGAACAATGAATATGTAAATTTATTCAATGAATTATTATAGAAGTACTAATAAAAAAATGTATGCTATAAAAACAAAAAAACACTAACTGTTGACTTTTCGCTTTACATAGTTCTAATATAACCGTTGGTAAGCACCAGGTAGTAACACGAAGTAATGTTTCAAAAGCTAGAAAAGTAAAGCCAATGAATAAAGCTTGGTAATCACGAAAGTGAAGACGGTCGAGAATTGGGACTCCCATATTTCCAAACTGGATAAATTGATGCGTGTTAATCAAAAAGCATAGTGATAGATGGATCAGTATATAATCCAATATTAAAATCTTTTGACTATGGTGCATATCACGTTAAAAGTATGGTGCACGTGAAAGGTGGGATGCGTTAAAGCGTTGTATTTTGTTTACTGAGACGCCGATGAATGCAGTAATTAGTAACGAAAAAAAAGGCAGATCATGTGACTTCCGATCTTTCCGGAGTTCCGGAATCTGCCCCTGAGAACACTCGATATAATTAAAGCGCATTTACTAATTTCTCACCAAGTTCTGATTGAATGCAAGTAAATCTCATCGCTGATTGGCTGACTATACTTGACCCGGCAAAACAAAAAATTAAAGTGAAAATGTAAAAAAGACGGAAAACGCATGCTTAAATTTAGCTTGGAGAATTAATTAAAAATGTCGAGAAAGAAATTATTAAATACAATTAAAGTAACCAAAAACCAAATAAACTTTGCTTAAGATTATAAAATACAGTCAAACCCCTCTATAGTCACACCTGTTTATAGTCACACCTTTCTATAGTCATCCTATTTTGCTTTCCCATTTATATATAAACATAGTAAAAAAACCCCTCTATAGTCACATTTTCTCTATAGTCACCAAATTTTGCTTTCCCGAGGGTGGTGACTATAGAGAAGTTTGACTGTACTATTTATATTATTATCAACATACTTGAAAGTAAATCTAAACTTTAAGAATATTCAATAAAAGAACTTAACCATCAACAAGATAATAATTATCATAAAGTGAGAGTTTAAGACTTGCTATCAGATTGAATATTGATTCATCAATAAGCTCTTGATTAATCAATCATGTTTTATATAGAATAATATAAGATTTTAATTAGTATTAGCATTAACATTAATAAAGATATAATAATTATAATAATAAATATTTACCTTAAATTTATTTCTTTAGTTACCATATTAATAATATCTGTAAATAAAATTAAAATTGTATACACTTCTTAAGTAAATTTAGAACTTATAATAAATTTTACACTTGATAATTACTATCTCACTAATGATTGAAACTTGCTATCTGGAAGAGGTACTAATTGGACATCCATTCCATTAAAGAGATAGTTATTAGTTGATCATATGCTCACTTTATAATAATTATTAGCTTGTTGATAGTTAAGTATTGTTATCTGGAAAAGAAAATAATTGGACATTGATTCCGCTAATAGGATCTTAATTGATCAAAGCGCTTTAATGAGGAACAAAAGAGAAATTAGAAGAAATTTCAAAGACGAAAAGTTACTCATCAATACAAAAAATGAAGATAATCCAATGACCAAAGAAAGTCTGAATTATCTGATAGAGACAAAAATGCATCCTGATCAGAAAAATTCTCATCATACCAGTAATTTCTTGTCACCATCAGGAAATCCAAATGATAAATCAAGTACATCAGGAAATTTTTATATCCGATTATAATCGATTATTATTCAATAATCAATTATCATCGATTGTTAATAATCGATTA